GAAGAATCATCTGTTGTATAAGGCTAGCAAAATCAAAAGTTCAAAAAGTCTAATATTGAAATAGATAAAATAAAAAATAAGTTTCTTCTCATTTATCACGAAATTGAATAGAATCTGGGAAAAAATTTTTTGCGCAGCGTTGGATCTTTTTTCCTCACTGTAGTCAACATATTTCGGTTGTTGCCGGGAGGAACGGTCCTACAGCGGAACTTGCGGTCCCATCATCGGTCCGCACGGCCCCATAGTCTTGTGACAACGGTCGCATTGGGTAGTCAGCGGCTCCAAGTATCGGGGCGGTGACATGTCTGGCTGCGAAATGTCCGGCTGCGAAATGTCTGGCTGCGAAACGTCTGGCTGCGAAATGTCGCGGCTGCGAAATGTCCGGTTGCGAAATGTCCGGGAGCCTCAAAAATGCATCTAACCTCAAAATATTCTAACCACCTCACTTTTTTTCAAATGTTTTTTCTCGTGAGTTTTAATTGTTCTATTTCAATAAATCACAATATTTTCTGATTTGATCATAATTCTTCCTGATCTAATGCCAAAAAATCTCAGAAACATAAATAACTCAAGGAAAGTTCATGGAAAAAACCTTCGAAAATTGCATGCTGTGTAAAAGATAAGAAACCGTTGGTTACAAGAATTCTAGTTGTTTAGGAAGTGAATTATCAAATAGACGTCAATTTCTGTGACGCAAAACTCTCTTCAGATTTGTAACCATACCGTATTTTCTCTAATTGAAGCGCATTGGCTTCTAATTTTCAACCTAAAAAAATTACTAAGAACTGAAATTATCAGAAACATTTCTAAAAAGAAAGGGAATGTTTGTAATAACCGAACAGACGAACTACATTGTTTGAACTGGACTCACTGAACCGCACAAACTTCTTTTAGAAATCGCGCTTTCATGATTTTAAGGCCGTCAGAGGGTAGGATTCTTCAGGCGAGCTTCAAACAGAGGTAGGTTTCTATTAGAGAAAATACGGTACTTGAAATTTGAGCTCCCTATTTTTTGGTTCCTATTGGAGTTATCAAGAATTAGTCACATTAAAAAAAAACTCCTGGCATATAACAATTATTTTGCCTATTTATGGTTTTTAGAAACCTCATTTAGGAATCGTGGTTATTCCAGTTTATGTAAAAAAAGATGTACTTAGATTATAATATGTTGCTCTCGTTTTTTAAAGAACTATTCATTCGTTCAAATTTTCACTGAAAAGTCCAAAAAGGAATTGAAATTCTTTTTACGTTTTTTTAGTCATTTCACGTTTTTCTAGTTTAAAGGGTTACTGTAAAAGACCATTTTGCATAGTATAGGCCAATCTCTCTCTCTCTCTCTCTCTCTCTCTCTCTCTCTCTCACTCACTCACTCACTCACTCACTCACTCACTCACTCACTCACTCACTCACTCACTCTTTCAATCACCAACAATGATCTCATTGTTCCACAATGAACCGTAGCCTTGACAACACAACCACTCTATCTATAATTACAGGGGCACATGAGTAGTGAGAGCGTATGAACTTGTTTACAATAAAGTATTCTACATTTTCGAATGTCTTGTGATTATCACATTTTCGAGAAACTAGATTATAGTAGTTTCTTACTGTAGATTTACGTAGGCGGATCATAAAAAGATCATTTAAAGGTCAATGGAAGCCAGGAGTAGGAGTATCAGTCTGATACATTTTGAGAATCTACAGTTCACCTATCACAGGTAAAATGCGAACGGATCCGTTACGGACGCTCAGCGTTCGCGCGCGGTTGAAATAGGAACCGCATACGGACCGCACGCGACCCGTTTTCAGAAAACCACAGCACATTATTCCGTATTCCTCCGTATTCTATCCGTTCGCGAACTCCGTATCCGACCCGCTTGCAAATGATGGACAAACGGATCCGTTCGCAAATCAGACAAAAGTTTAAGTTCGCGAACGGACCGGTTTGTTTATCATTCGCAAGCGGGTGGGGTACGGAGTTCGCGAACGGATAGAATATGGAGGAATACGGAATAAT